TATGTATAAAAAATTACAATATCAATTACAAAATTCGTGTAACCTTATCGACCAATCACATGAAAGTCCTCCTATGATATGGATATACAGATATCCGGATAGTAGTTTCAGGTGACGGATATCCATTGACGGATATACGGATATCTATGGGTATCTGTGCGGATATCTGTTATGTGATCTCATGTCATATGGTGTTATATGATCTTCATGTTATAAAAACGCGTAATACAAATTATTAGATGATAATTGAACGCAACTTGTTTTTATAATTAAAAATGTTTAGCAATAACTTTGAAGGAGAAATGCTACAATCAGAAGATCCTGAAAAAGCTCCAAGCCCCAAAGCAAATAGCTCAAAAAGACCAAGGCAAAGGACACAAAAGTCATTAAAACGGCAAAGACTAACTCCACATGTAGATTTAAATAAAATAACTGACCAGCTAGTGTTAATTCCAAATGCAAAACCACCGGGAAAAAGTTGGATATGGGGATATTTTGATCAGTATAAGCCAGTTGGATGATATAAAAGAGTAGTAAGATGTTTAGTTCAAGTTCAAAGAAAGAATGGTGCAGAACCATGTGGCCATTTTTTGGGTTCTGATAATTCCACTGGCAATTTTATTGTTCATCTTGCTACACATCGAATTACTGAAGAAAGTCATGAGAGAAAAATGAACGAAATACGAAATAATAATCAGGTGTCACAACCCGTATAGATGAAATGATACGAAATAATCCAAATATTAAAGTAATCGAGACTGAAAATTTGTTGGAATCTTGATTAAGGATAATCGACCAATCAGTATATGTAATGATAAAGGGTTTATTGAATTTATTCATGAATTCGATCCAAATTATCAACCTCCAAGTGATAAAACAGTTCAACAATTATTAGCTGAAGCATATAATCAAATCAAAATTGTTTTAACAAAAATATTTAATGAAAATATTTTTTCTTGCTCTATAACAACAGATCTTTGGACAACTTGAAGTAGATTTGGTTATATTGATATTATGTGCTCTTTTATTGATAATGATTTTAGGTTTTGCAAAGCGATCTTATCAGTTCAATATGTGCCTTATCCCCATTCTGGCGATAATATTTGTAGAGTTTTACGTGAAATTATTTCTAATTGGAATCTAACCGGCAAGGTTTTTACAATGACGACTGATAATGGATCAAATATGGTTTGGGCTGGCAAATTAATGAATGAACTTACACGACTCCCCTGTATAGCGCATACTCTCTGAAGTCTATCATAGAATTGGCTAGTATAGGATTGGCCAACATAAGTTTTTTCTCGTCGAAGTCTATCATAGTGTTGAGTAATATAATAACCTTTAACATGTAGTGGATATCATCTACAAGTAGAAACTGTAAGCTTTTCGCAATTAGAACAAGGTATACGTTTTTTAGCTTTTCAATGAAATTAATATCCTTTAGGCCTAGTACTAGTATTCCCACAAGCCTTTCCAGTATTACGGAGAAATAAGCAAGAATATTCATTAATCATCCTACTTTTTTATTACTAGATTTGAAAAGATTAATTAATAATTAGTTAATGTTTCAGTTTTGCAATAGTTAGAACCTCTTCAGAAAGCTTGTAAATATTTATCTTCAGTAGGGTTTCTATAATTGAAAAGTGATAGATACATAAGAAATAAATAATTAAAGAAAAAATTATATAAGTAAGTAATAGCTTGACGATTAGAGCTAACACCATGGCTAGAAAAATAAGAACTAATAAAAAAGATACAATTTGTAAATGTTGTGATTATGAATGCTTAACATCCTAAAAACTTCATGAGCATCTTAAGCAAAAAAATCTATGTAAACCATTACAAGAGTAGAAGGATATAGCTTCTACTAAAGTGTCAATTCTAGCGCTCATTCAAGAATTTAAGCAACATCTTATTCAAGAACCTGTTCAAATTTCTGATCAGAACTACAAATGATCACTCAAGATCCTGCTCTAAGCCAGTACTAATTCACGAAAAAAACTATATTACTGAAGAGAAGGTAAAGAACTGGATTAATTCAAATGCACGTAAACCTAGAAAGCAAATTAAGACATGGGAGCAAGATTGCAAAAATGTTGGAAAGAATTAGATTTGGGTATTGAACTATATGAGGCAAATGATCTAGATGGTTGTAAGACCCTTTTTCATGATCTTGAACTAAATGATCCAGAGGCAGCTCGCTTACTGATATTAAAAGAATTAGAGTCTGAAGGCAGTCCTAGATCTAAGAATTTGATCAATAAAGAATTTGAGCATTTAGAAGAAATTAAGAGACACGAAAGGTCAGAGAAGGATTTAGAATTTAGGGAACAAGAAGAATTGGGAACAGCGGTTAAAAGAAGAGCTATAGCCGT